ACATGCCCGGGAGGGGAAGGGTCAATTGCTGAGCTATATGGAATAGGTGAAGAGAATTGGAAGGTTCTATTTCTTAATCAGTTTTTTCTAGGAATTTTCTTTTTTTTTTTAAATAAATTTATTTATTTATTTTTGGCTGTGTTAGGTCTTCGTTTCTGTGCAAGGGCTTTCTCCAGTTGCGGCGAGCAGGGGCCACGCTTCATCGCGGTGCGTGGGCCTCTCACTGTCACGGCCTCTCCCGTTGCGGAACACAGGCTCCAGACGCGCAGGCTCAGTAGTTGTGGCTCACGGGCTTAGTTGCTCCGCGGCATGTGAGATCCTCCCAGACCAGGGCTGGAACCCATATCCCCTGCACTGGCAGGCAAATTCCTAAGCACTGCGCCACCAGGAAAGCCCAGAAATTTTCTTGTGTTTAGGCTCACCTTCAATCTCACTTCAAGACATACCTATTGTTTCCAATTGCTGAGCTTTTTGTGGGTTTGCAGTATTAAGTCACTTGAATTGAAGTTTCCTCAGTCTGCTAAGTCAGTTATCATTTGTCTTTTTCCTTTCCACTTTCTAAAATGCTGTTGCTATTCTCTCTTCTCTCACCTCTTTGTCTGAAGTGGTGTGTGTGTGTGTGTGAGAGAGAGAGAGAGAGAAGCCCTTTACTGTTGTTCAGTGATAGTTTAGGAGACAGCACAGAGCTAACGTACAGGTTCAGTTCTCCAGAAGGCCCTTCACCTGTACTGTACAGAGAATCTCAGAGAAGTCACTCTTCAGGCCCATTCTTGATTGTGTTCGAGCAAATGATAACATGTTTTTCTAATGACACATTTTTGTTTGTTTGTTTTAATGGATGCTCCTGATGCTGGTCTGGAAGGTTGCAAAATGTTTTTTTTTTCTCTTTTCTATATTTACATGAAAATAATTCATCTTCATGCTAAATACATTGTTTACCTTACAGGAACTTTATTTTTGAATTTAAAAAGTTTGTGTTTTTGTGCTTTTTTTAATTTTTTTCTTTTTTCAAAGCAATTCCATGCATTGTGGATCAGAAATTTCTGCTGGAGGGCTTCCCTGATGGCGCAGTGGTTGAGAGTCCGCCTGCCGATGCAGGGGACACGGGTTTGTGCCCCGGTCCGGGAAGATCCCACATGCCGCAGAGCGGCTGGGCCCGTGAGCCATGGCCGCTGAGCCTGCACGTCCTGAGCCTGTGCTCCGCAACGGGAGAGGCCACAACAGTGAGAGGCCCGCGTACCACCAAAAAAAAAGAAAGAAATTTCTGCTGGCTACACTGGCTGAATGTGGAAAGCATTGATTTTCACAAAGATGAATCCTGACTAACATTAATTGCAAACTCCATTTTGAGGGCAGTATAGGAATTTTTTTTCCTTTCTTTTTTGCCGTGTTTTACTTTAGTTTGTCCATCAATGTGCCTTTCATCTTTTAAAAATACACCACAATGCTAATAACATGTTCTGTAGCTTTTTGTTTTGTTTTGTTTTCACTTGGATCAAATGGTTTTGACAGACAGAAAAAGATTTGTACCACCCTTTCCTTCGTTAACAGCTATTGTAATTTCTTGGAACTTGATTTTCACTTGGGCAGTTAAGAAGACAACGCTTGTCTTTTGCATCAGTTTTTTTCTCTCTTTCTCGTGTGTGTGTGTCTGTGTGTGTGTGTGTGTGTGTCTGTGTTTGTACACGCGCGTGTGCAGGACCAACCTTCAGGCTTATGGCTTGTGGAACCTTCTCTTAATTTAATGTAAACCAGAATTCAGTGATTAGCAACATCACTAAAAACTGACCCAGTCTCTTCTCATGAGTCACTGACACCTGTTGAATATGAATGGTCCAGTGTCCACCCCGGAAGATGCTACTAGGCTTCACGGTTAAGAAGCACAGAGGACTGGTGACTGCCCTCCCACCCCCGCATCACACGCTTGGGACAGTGCCAGGGGTTTTCCTGGCACAATTTGATGCCCAGTGCCACGAGCTTGGGTCTGCTCTTGGGGGGACCAGGGGTCCTTCCTTCTCCTCAGTTGCTTTATGGGCATTCACTCAGCGAACCCGACTGGGTGCACATCTTGACCTTTTAAACCTAAAGGTTGGGCCTGATCAATGGTTACTTTGCACACGTGCCTTCTAAGTGCCTGATGTGTATCCCCGTGGCATTATCGTTGCCATCCCTGTGGATTCAGCCACAGATTTCTGACAAGCTGGAGGAAACAATGGTAATTTTGGCTTTTTCGGTTTTGTCTTCAGATAATGCAAAGCTTTTGTAAAACAGCTGAGTGTCAATATGAGTTCTATGGCTTCAGTCTCCTTTAAACATAATATTCTTAAGGGTCCAAAACAAAGGAGGGGGGAAAATTAAAAAAAAAAAAAAAAAGAAACAATACCAAACCAAAAAAAAAAAGAAAAATGAAATAAATAATAATAATAAATTGCTGGTATTGCCACAAATCATTCGAAATCTCCTGACATGCTGAAACCAAATGGCTGTAAGTTCAAAACAAATCAGTGACTTGTTTTTAATTTTTCGTGGTTTCCTTTTGTTCTTTCTGCCCCTTTGCCGTCAGATTGGTGATGTTATTCAAACAGGACCGAATCCCCGCCAAGTGCAGGATCGACCCCGCCGCCTCTTTCATCTCGTCATCGCTCTCGGGGGGCTTTTCCGAGCATCTCTTTTTGAGAGGCAGCATGTCGCTGGGGATCTTCCTTGCCTTGGCGAAGTGCTGGTGCTTCTTGTGCTGGGACGCATAGATGCTGTCCCCCAGAGCATCCTTGGCCTCCTTCGGGCTGCATTTCCTGTCATCCTCCTCCGTCTCGTTCTGGCTCTCGTGGCTCTGGAAGCTGCCCTCGCTGCCATTCTCGCTCACCTTGGTGGCAGACTCATAGTGGTCGTTGGCCAAGGAGGAGGAGATGGAGTCGCTGGCAGGCGAGGTGCTCCTGGCACTGAAGGACTTGGCACTGCTGTAGTTGTCATCCTCCTTGGGTCTCCACTGCCCACTAGGGAGCCACAGGACGGCTCGCTCTCAGTCCGCATCCGGCAGTTGGTGAGGCCATTCTTCCTGGCTGCTGTCATTCAAGTGGGAGTGATTGGCAACGGCGGACTCCAGGAAACAGGCCTCGGCTCCGAACCCGCCTTCCGTTTTGTATCACTCTTGGAGGAACTGCTTGTATCTCGGAGAGTATTCAAAAGCATCGTGGCACAGGCAGCATCAATGTCAGGATCTTGTAGAAAGGTTCCATTTCTCTTAAAGAAGGTGCTGTCTTGCCAGAGGGGTGGACCTGATGTGCTTTGTTATGCCTGAGTAGAGGCGGGAGGTATATTGAACACATTCGAGTGTGGGTGATAAGGTGTCTTTTTCAAAGCCTGAATTAGACTTTCTTTGTCTGTACTCTGGATTAGACTTTGTCTGTACTCTGTACAATGACCCTTTCCCGATACTCTGACTCCTCTCTTTGTCCACTTTCTTAAAACACTTATTCAAGGACAAATTATGTCTCACTGAGTTTTTCCACCCAGTAGGTGCGTTTGCAAAATACGGAAAATGTTCCAAGATCCAGTTGTAGATATCCTTCCCCGGCAGGCGCTTGGTTGGAGAGTCCTCAATAGCCATAAATATGAGGCAACTGAAGGAGTAGGCGGGCTTGCAGTTGGGGTTCTGCCGGGCACCATAGGGCATGTCGGAGTGGGCAGGGGATGGGGGTGTGTCATCGTCCAGGTCCTGGACGGGGCTGACGCTCTGCAGGACCGAGTTCCCAAAGCTCTTCAGCAGGTTCTTGCTCTCGTGCAGCCAGTTCAGTTTGGTCAGCTCTTCATCTTCCATGGCCCCCTCTTCTAATCGGATGGCAGGCAGAGAAAAGTCGAGGTCATCGTCTTCCTGAAGGGCCTTGGAGAAACTGCTGCCCCGGTAACACTGACTCAGCCCACTGGAGACACTAATTCCTGAGCTTTCTGGTTTCTCACTGGGAGGCATGACTGGACCCATTTACGTGAAGGCTCCTGGCCGGAGCGGGGCGCGGAGGCTCAGGGGCGCTACTGCCCTTCAGCGGGAGCCAACAGACTTTTGCAGGCGCCCAGCGGGCATCGCTTGGTGGACCAGTTAAGGACGCGAGGGGCGGCTCAGGCGGCAGGGGCGTGGGGGGTCGCAGCGCAGCATGGGACCTGCGGTGCGCCGCGTGTCCTCCCACCGGCCCCGCGCTCTCCCCGCCCCGCCTACCTGCAAAATATGTTTTATTTTCTGCTTTCTGCCAAGCCTCAGTTGTGTTTAACCCAGTTCTTTTCTGTAGCTTTGCAGGCCCACGAGTAATGTTTATTTCATTTATCTTTTGTGAACAGGGAAGACAATGTGAGGTGTCATACAGAAATGCTCTATATTAAGATGTATATGATAAGCCCCAGAACAACACTAAGGAAATAACTAAAAAAAAAAAAAAGTAACAAATCATGAAAGGAATTAAGAGGCTATATCAGAAAATATTCACGTACTGTTTTTAAAAAGTAGTAGGGGAGGAATAGAGGAACAAAAAAGATGTGTAATATATAGAAAACTAAAATTAAATTGGCAGACATAAGCCAGCTACATCAGTAATAACATTAAATGTGAATGGCTTAAGCAATTCAATCAAATGACAGAGATTATCACATGGGTTTAAAAAAAAAAAAAAGACAAAAAGAAGACCCAGCTATATGCTGGATAAACAAAATAGAGGATAGAAAAACAATAGAGAAAAATCAATGAAACCAAAAGTTGATTCTTTGAAAAGATCAACAGAACTGACAAACCTTTAGCTAGATTGACCAAGAAAAAAAGGAGAGAATACTGCAATTACTAGAGTCAGAAATGAAAGAGGGGAGAGTATTACCAACCTTACAGAAATAAAAACAATTATAACAGATTCCTGTGAACATTCAGATATGCCAGTAAGTTGGACAACTTAGATTAAATGGACAAATTACTTGAACAGAATCCTCTATAGATAAGAACTGACTTTATGATACATTTGCAGGCTGCTGCCTTCTCCTCTCAAGGATGCAGTAGAGGTCTCAACCTGGAGAAGATGCTATACAATGCAAGAGGTGAACTCTGCCCTTAGTAAAATCCAGCTGGTGGGATATTCTCAGAAAATTGTGAGTGTTAATATGATTTTAAGTGACTGATGAATGTTTTCGATTCATACTGTTGTTCTTTGGAAGGATCCTATACTGCCTTTTTTTTAAAGTATCTTTTTTTTTTTAATTTATTTTGGCTGTGTTGGGTCTTCATTGCTGCATGGGCTTTCTCTAGTTGCAGTGAGCGGGGGCTACTCTTCGTGCGGTGGCTTCTCTTGTTGCAGAGCACAGGCTCTAGGAGTGTGGGCTTCAGTAGTTGTGGCTCGGGGGCTCTAGAGTGCAGGTTCAGTAGTTGTGGCGCACGGGCTTAGTTGTCCCATGGCATGTGGGATTTTCCCAGACCAGGGCTCGAATCTGTGTCCCCTGCATTGGCAGGCGGATTCTTAACCACTGCGCCACCAGGGAAGTCCCTAGTTTCCTTTTTTAAGCCACTCAGTCACTACAAATCTTGTACTAGTACATAGTGAAAAGATAGAACATCTGTTGTTTTCCTCCATCTTTCCCAGGTTCTTATTGGCCCTCTTTCCTAACCCTTACATTCCCCATCGCTAGCTAGCATGTAATGAGTCAGGAGAAAGGCATCTCATCCTGTTTACTTTAGAACAGTGACACCACTTTACAAATTTTGGACTAGTGAAATAGGAAACAGAATAAAAGAGATCAAGAAATAATTTGGCAAGTATAACTTTTGACCTCTGACCTGATCATGATAAGGGTTCCCATTCCTGTTAACTTGTGCCCAGAGCCACTAAGTACAGAACAACCAAGATATTAATTCCTAACCTGGAAAGGGAAGGAAAAAAAGAAGAAGAAGAAAACCGAAGTATTTGTCTCTTTGGTCTGTTTCATAATATAGCATCTCTGCCTTTTAATGAGTGAGGCCTAGGTGCCTGGTGCCATGTGGATAGACTGAATCTCTCAGAGATGTGACAAGTAAAGACTGTCGGATGTGTCTCCCAAATGGTCTCCATCATCTTTCTGTTTTACTTTAAACTTTCTGGTTCACTTGAAAATAGCTTCTAAGTGGAGAAGAATGTTTCTGTTATTTTTCCCTGTGAACTTATCTGGCATGACTGTACTGCTGAATGCTCATCACACATTCTTATTGTGGTTCTTTTCTAGGAACTTTTTGGTGCAGTCCAGGTGACTCCTTTAAGCTCTGGCTATGCCCTTGGAAGCTCCAACTGGATTATCCAATCCCATTATGAGAAAGTGTCTTACGTCTCTGGATCCTCCTTGCTTACCACACACCCCCAGGTAATTCTAAATTCTCTTTTAACAGCTCAGCTTTTTGGTTATTTACCCTAAATTCAGAATGTGTCCAAAGTACTATCAGCTGTTTTTAAATCTTCCTAATTTCAGTTTCTACAAACACTATTTTTTTTGCGGTGCGCGGGCCTCTCACTGTTGTGGCCTCTCCCGTCGTGGAGCACAGGCTCCGGACGCGCAGGCTCAGAGGCCATGGCTCATGGGCCCAGCCGCTCCGCGGCATGTGGGATCTCCCTGGACCAGGGCACGAACCCATGTTCCCTGCATCGGCAGACGGACTCTCAACCACTGCGCCACCAGGGAAGCCCAAACACTCTTTTTTTTATTGTGGTAAGAACACTTAACATAAGATATACCCTCATAATAAATGTGTAACTGTACAATACATGATTGTTGACTGTAAGTGCGACGTTGTATAGCAGATCTGTAGAGCTTACTCATCTTGCTTACCTGAAACTTTACGTGCTCCTCTTTATCAGAGTTAGAGTATTCGTGTCCATAGTTCCTCTGTAAGATCCTGCTGCCTTTAGGTCACCTCTAGGATTTAGAGATTTCCCAACACTTCGAATAACCAGAGCCTGATGAGTATAACAGAGATGATCACTTGTTTACTCAACAAATATTAATTACTTAATATTTACTAAGGGCCTACTATGTGTCAAGCACTCATCTAGGTATTAGAGATTCAGTGGTGACCCACAGACAAAGTCCCTTCTCATGAATCTGCCTTCATTGATGTATATAGAGAGAATGGTGTGCTGAAAATAAATGAGCAACGTAATTCCAGATTCTGACACAAGTACTGAAAACAACAAAGCAGAGTTATATATAGAGTGATGGAGACTAGTTTAAATTGGATGGTCAGAGGAAGCTTCTAGGGACAGTCTCATTGGAACTGACACCTGGAGAAATGAGGCATGTAAAGCTGTGGACAAAGCATTACAGGGACATGGCAGATGAAGGGCTCCTAACACCAGAACAAGCTGGGCATGTCTGCAGAGCAGAGGAGACCATTGTGATTGCAGCATACTAAGTATGATCAGGACATGTCCAAGAGGTTAGCAGACACCAGGCCATGTAGGACTTTGTCGGCCATGATGAGAAATTTGGATTTTATTTGAATATATAGACTGAAGCTATTGGAAAGTTTTAGGTAGTCATTCATTATCAGTCACATTGGCAAGCACCTAAGTGCATAAATATTGTTATAAATGTTAGTTATTCCATTTTAGGTATTTGTAAAGAATTTATTGTTCATTTCATAGATCTTGGTTCTTTCCATGTTTGTAAAGGAGGGCAAGGGAGATTAGATATTGTTAGTTAGATATTGTTAGTTAGCCGGTGGATGGGTGGATGGTTGGATAGATAGATAACTTGGGGGAGCCCATGTCCCATTTTAATATAGGAAAAAGAATGACTGCTTTAAGTCTAGAACAGTAGGATTCTTCTGAGCTGCCACTCTGCATTGTTTTTGTATCTTTTTTATAATCAAGTTTCATTTCAAGGTCTAGAGGGAACAAGTGGCTATTTTTTCCTATAGCTCGCAGAATTCTGGGCCTTTCCCACTTATTGAAATCAAAAGCCCATCAATGTCATCCTAATCTGCTTCATTGAAACAAATTTTTTATTGGCAGCTTCTATCATTCCTGATATATTCTCCCATAAAAGACAGAAAGATTACTTGGCTGCCAACTCTTCCAATTTGTCCTGCCTTTGCAATACTATTGATGTAATTTCCAGTAAATTATACTTACAAGGTCTGTAAATTTAAAGGGAAAATAAGGTCTTGAAAGTAATGAGCAGCATACCTAAGTAATTAATTTTAATTTCTAGCTGGCAACCACTGTTGTATGTAAAAAAGAAAGTAAATTAGATTTTCTTTTACCCAGATAATTGGATTCTATATTGAATTATCAGGGATAAGGAAAGGTTTGGTTTGAAAAAACTTGATATTTTACTTCAGAGGTCAGCGCACCACCTGTTCTGGTAAATAATGTTTTTTTGGAATACCGTCACACCCATTTGCTTCATGGGTTGTTTGTGGCTGATTACACCCTATCATGACAGTTATACTTTTCAACTTTATAGAAAAGGGCCAATCACCGATCAGCTTTAGTAATGGAACCCCATGACCTAGGAAGAATGTGGCAGGCAGCTATACTGATCTAATAAGCATATGGAAATGAGGCTTTGGATTAAGCCTGTAACAGTAAGAATGGAAATGTAAGTTAAAGAAACATTGGCAGATCTTTAATTCAACAAACATTTCTTGAATAACCGCTGTCTTCAGGGAAGGAAAAATACAAGTCAAAGATCTTATGCCTGGACGACACTGAGAATGATGATAATGACACTAATCCAGTTGACAAGGAGGAGTTGGTGGGGGTGGGGAGGCGGCTGCGGCCATTAGTTTCAGAAGGGGGTGGTGTGTGTGATGAATAGGAATTAGAGAGAACATTGGACAGATGGAAATGCAGAGCTGGAAGCTGGATATGAAGGCAAGCCTGGAGACAAATTGGAGAGCCATCAGATTTTTTTAAATATATAACATGCTGAGGATTAAAGACTGAGCTCTGGGAAACAGTGGAAGGAAGAAAAATGGTCTTGAATAAGAATGTTTGGAGAATTGAGGCCCAAAAAAGTACAGCATCCCAAATGGAAAAGGAAGAGAACTAGACTTTACTGAGCACACCGTCTCAGTATTAATTTCTTAAATCGATCTAATATTCAGCAACCATGGTGAATTCTCATAGTAATTCTGATATTTATCTGTTGATGATAGTATCTGCAAAGAAGTAAGAGTTTTGTCACTAAGCTTCCAATCCTTGTATCTTTTCTTTTTCCCATCTTGTAACTAAGCTCTCTAGTTCCATGTTAAACAGAAGTGATGATAGCAGCATCATTGTTTTATATCTGATTTTAAAGGGAATGCTTTCCTAGTCTCTTCGTTAAATATGATGCTTACATGTCTTTGTCAGGTTAAGGAGTTTCTCCTCTGTTCCTAATTTTCTGATTTTTTAAAACCAGATAGAGGTGTTACTTTTATCAAATACTTTTTCTGAGTCTGTGAGTTAATCGTGTGATTTCTTTCATTGAGACCATTAATGTAGTGAATTGTAATGTTAACTTTTCTCGCATGTAACCATCCTTGCATTCCTGGGATAAATCTTACTTGATCATATAATTTATTCTTTTCAAAATACCTTCCTGGAATCATTTGGTCAGTATTTTATTGAAGTTTATAATCTGTATCCATAAGTGAAAAATGGACCCATACATTATTTTCTTGCACTATCTTCATTTGTTTTTGGAATCAAGGTACATTAGTCTCATCAGATGATTTGGGCACCTTTCCCTCTTTATCTGATGGCCAGAAATTTACAAGATAGGGATTATCTTCTCTTGAAAGTCAGAGTCCCCATAAAATTGTCTAAGTGTGGGATTACCATTTTAATTTTTTTCATAGCTATTGAATTATATTTTCTGGGTCAAAGGTATGCCAATTTTGCAGAAATTTGTCCATTTTTCCTAGGTTTTCAAAAATCATACACATGGAATTATATGTGTACAATTTATATTTTAAACTTTTGTGTAATTCTACTTTCATTCTAAATTTTTTTCATTATGTCTTTTTTTTTTCCCCTTATTCAGACTTGCCAGGGGTTTGCCTACATTACTGATTTTCTTCAAAGAAAAATTTTTGCTTTCAGTGGTTTTTGTTGTAATTCTATTCTCTGTTCTGCCCTTTATTATTTCCTTCCTTGGGTGTACCTTGCTGCATTTCTTTTAATACTTAGCTCATTTGTTTCAGTCTTTCTTTGCTCTTCCATAAGTATATTTAAAGCTGTCAGTTTCTCTCAGTATCATTAAACTGTTAAATGTTGATATGAAGTGCTTTGTCATTCATATCTAAGTATATCATAATTTCCTTCTTAATTAATGTTCCTGATTTAAATAACCAAAGGTTATTTTATAGTATACTTTTGTTTGTTTCTAGTCTATCCCAGTATGGTTAGACTTAGCATTAGACAAGACTTTGGTCATGTTATACTTACATTTCAGGATTCTTTTCTAATTTTCTTTTACATTATAATAAGAGTATACTGATTCTTTGAAATTTGTTTAGGCTTACTTTGAAACGCAATTCTTTTTGGTAAATGGTCAACATATGTTGGAAAAGACTGTGTATTCAGTGCTGAGTGAAAATTTCTTCTGTATGTATTTATTCATTTGAGTCTGTTGTGTTTTTAAGTCTCCTATCTTTCCTTAGCTACCAGTTTCTGAAAAGGATGTGTTATTTGTTGACTTACCTATTTCTCCTTATAGTTTTACTGATTATTGCTTTTTATATTTTTAAGCTGTATACTCAGGAGTATATATGTTCATGTGATCATTGTGTCTTATTGATCAATTATTCCTTCTATCAGGATGTTTTCTTTTTTTTCCTCTATCAAAACTGCATTAAAAACCAGGAGACTTTTTCCCCTTCCATACTTGCCTGCTAGTGTTTTTCATCCCCTTTTTTTTTTTTTTCCACTCTTTCTGTGTCCTTTTCTACTGAATCCCTTGTAGGCAACATAGTAAGGGTTTTTTTTTTTTTCCTTTTTCAATCTAGAGTCTCTTTGATTAGTGAAACCGTTTATGTTTCTTATAATCAATATTGTATTGGGGGCTTACTTTTGCCATCCTCATGTATTTTTGTTTACTTCATTCTTTTCCCCATGTTTTCTTGACTTCTTTTAGAAGTCTAAATTTCCTTCTACAAGTTTGAAGACATATATATCTTTTAACTTTTTATTTTATATTGGAGTAAAGTTGATTTAACAGTGTTGTATCAGTTTCAGGTGGACAGCAAAGTGATTCAGTTATATGTATACATGTATCTATTCTTCAAATTCTTTTCCCATTTAGGTTGTTACATAATATTGAGTAGAGTTCCTTGTGCTATACAGTAGATTCTTATTAGTTATCCATATATATTTTATTTT